AAGGAGAAAAAGGAAAATGGAATAAGAGTTTATACGAAGCAGTCTATGCATTACCTCCAGCAAGTGCCGCAGTCTTTGACCCAATTTTCTTCTTCTTTCCTGCTAAAAAGTACATCGAAATGTTAGATTCACCATATTAACTAAAATAAACGACGTTTCTTCATACAGAGATGATAATTAATTACTTAATTACTGTGGTAATATCGGTCTAATATCGTAATTAACTGTTCTTTGAAAGGGAACCCAATCGATTATACATAATTGTACACATCTTTGTGCGTACGTGCACACACTCACTTGGTAAACTGAAAGGTGCAGATTCGAATGGATCTTCTGGTAACTCTGTATACGTTGCAACGAGGTTCTCGCGTCTTTTTATACCACCAATACTCGTATTACTTCCCCTTCGAATTTTGTCAAACTCCGCTCCAAAAATGTGATCCTCCGTTAACTGATTAAAAGGTTGTACATCCTCGAAAGGGTTCCAAGCTGCTACGTCTGCGCTTAGAGATCTTCCTTCGCTAGCGGTTATGCTCGATAATTCGCCCTATTTAAAAAGTATTTGGATCTTTTACGTATTCAGGTCTAACGAGATATGCGCGCGATATACTGCCTATCATATAAGTATACGTGTCTTATATGTATACATTGTGAGTTTCGAAGATGGGTGCTGCGGTGCAAACAACGTAACCAATAAACTATATGTACGTAAATGGAAAAATTATTATTAAACGTAATTATATAATCAATAATTATTAATCAAAATTAAGCAGTATGTCCTTTCGTAAATGCTATATAACGAATCTTTTAAAATCGAATAATAATAATACTAATAATAAAAATAATCATAATAATAATAACGACGAGGACGACGAAAATCATAATGATAAAACCACAATCATTTATAGAAAATTAATATAAATTGAGAAAGAAAATTATCAAGGGAAATCAGTGCGCTATATGTACTTACAATACGTACATGCGAAGCACTGGATCCTAGACAAGATTTTACGTCGGCTACAACTTCAGGAGTGGTAGTATCTTCCGAGCGTGCTTTCACCGAAGCTTCGTATGGTGCCAGAAATTGTGTTGTTTCGTTTGCAAATGCTCTATGGTATAAATAAGAAATAAATGCTTTGCACGCAATCGCACACGCTTCGACGATTAAACAATTTTCCAAAAGAAAATAGAAGTAAATACATAACTCACTTGTTAAAAGCACTCGTGTCGCTAACGTTCCTTCTATGACGAGCAGAACAGAATGTCGGACTATCGGGTGGTGAAGTACTCGAGCTTATACTTTGACTCAAACTTTCTGTCTTATTCACTGGTTTCGGTAAAGTCGGCGGCGTTACGGCAGCCACCTTGTTAGGCCCCGTTGGAGTATTTAGTTTCGACGTCATGCAAGTAACAGACGTAAACTTCGAAGATTGACAACTGATCGAAGTATTCGGTACCTTGGCTACAATTTTACAAGGTTTAGGAGCTACTGGTGGTGGTATTTTTGTGGGTGGTGGCATAGCTCGGGTATCATCTTTGAACGGGTCTGGATAACCTGCAAACGTATAATAGCGCGGATAAGTACGATTCGCACAAGCCAACAAGTTTCAACAAATTTTTACACTATCTTTACAATAACAACAACCTGCTCCTTACCCGATGGTGGAAATAGCGCTTCTAGATTTTCTTCGCTCACGCTCGTCACCGACGTTGAGTCAAAGTAATACGAGCTTACTGTATCTTGAACAGTTACAGGGGATTGTCTAGTCGTGGTACATTGTGACGACTGACTGTACTGCGGTTGCTGACTTTGCTGTGATTGTTGTCCGAAGGAAATGTTTTGACTACTAGTAGTCGTGCAAGGAATTTGCGGCGAAACTTGAGTAAGCGATGACGACTGCGTCGACATTTGATGACAAGTTACTGCCGCTGTCACCGTTACCGTCGCAGTCGCAGTTGACGTCGCTGTCGTTGTCGTTATCGTTGTCGCTGTCGCTGCCGCTACCGCAATCGTCGTCGACGCCCCCACCCCCGCTCCTGTCGCCGCAACTTGCATAGTTAACGGCAACGATTGAACGTTTCCTTGCGTACCTTGTTGCCCTAGGTAAGCTTGAGGTGTGTTCAACGAAGCAAGTTGTTGACCCATTGGTACATACGAAATTGTATTTCCTACGCAACTTTGCGATTGCATCTGCTGATTCCCCTGACCAGATATTTGACTTACGATCTGGCCGCTCAAACTGATCGGACCTGTGCTCACAGCTTGTCCCTTTGGCCGTTGTCTTGGTGTAACCGAGGTACCCTCCACAGTAGGTACTGGGCTCGGTTTTGGTGTTTTCACCAACGATGATCTTTTCACGTTTTCAGATTCCATAGAAGGACAAGGTAACGATTCCAAAACAGGTGTTGGAACTTTCTAAAAAATTAGACAAATTTGCTGGTGAAAAGCATTCCGCTGCGCATATACCAAATACGTTTATAATATTTCAACATTTTATAAACGACCAAAAAACTCCCAATACTTTTCATTTACTACTCATAACGTCGAGTGCAATCACTCCAATATAATCCTCTTGCTTTCTATTCTTTCCTCTTTATTTGATGGCACGAAACAACACAGTTATATGCGTATACGTACGTGTATGTTTTGTACAGGACACTCTTTGCCCTGGATTTGAAAAGCAATCACAGAAGCTTGGTAAATGTCGGGACGACTATCGGGATCCGGCTCAAGCATATAACGAATCAGACAATGAAGGCTTCTACTATATCTATACAAAGTTCAGTGTTGTTGTAATAGTTCCAATATATAAGGTATTAAAAATAATATGTATACAATACATGTATGCACGCACGCATACACAGGCGCGGAATAAAGTACATACCTTGAATGATCCGGTATTGTAAAATTTCCCGATTGGATAGCAAGGGTGCTCTCTCCAAATGGCAATGTAAAGAAACAGAGTTTGTACAACAAACATCCCAATGCCTAAACAATTATGCAATATGATTCAATTAGAATTCTCTCATCTACCCCCTCCTCTCTCTCTCACTCTCTCCCTCCCACCCTCTATTTCACAAATAAATGTCATAAATTGAAGATTTAAAATTTATCGTGTACCCATATATCTGCTTTCGTTGTAATGGGCTTCCCGCAGTACATATCAACCATTTCAGGCGCTCTATAACTAAGGGTCGTATACTTCTTAATTTCTTCTTCGATTATCGCTGCACCCTGTACACTGGGATTAAGGACTTTCGCTGTTGCCGAACCAAAGTCGCACAATACGTAATGACCAGTATCGGAGTACAATATATTTTCAACCTGAAAAAGTTTAACAATGAATACTGTGTGTACGCAACACCGACGCATACCTACAAAACCAATAAGGTACAACACGTCGTGGACAAACCTTTAGATCTCTATGTATTATTGGTGTCTTACAATGATGTAGTCGAGATACAGCTTCGCAAACGTCGCAAAATATTTGAACAACTTCAGATTCGCTAAACCCAGTCTGTAACCTGTAACAGTTCCGATCAATTTTTTTTTCACAATCTCCTTCTTTTTCTTACACGTTACTTGAAATTTAATCAACAGATTTTCAACCTATTGTTCATCATTTGCAGAACTTGAGACTTGCAATAAGGCATTAAAAGCAGAAGTTCGTGTACTCCCCCACCTATGTGTGTGATACTACTGTCCACATATCCTATGATATTCTTATGACCGTTCAAGTTACTCTGGAAAGTACAAACGCAAATATCAGTGCCCTTGAAAGCAACGTAGAGCCAATAACTTTTTTTTATCAGAAAGAAAATTTTAATACGTTAAAAAAAAAATATATATACAACTCACTGCTATTTGTATCTCCCTCTTACATACATTAAGGTCGTGTTCATTATTAACGTACATGCGTTTAAGTGCATAACGTCCACTCGAAGATTTAACCAGGAATACAATAGCAAATCCTCCTACGGTGATATTATTAAAACACAATTTTACATATGCTAGATGTCAAAACACTAAAAATATAGATATTAAACCAATAATGCAGCCAATTTTGGAATCTTTAAACTTTTCAGACCAATTAATTAAATGGACAAAAACATGGGCAAAAAATGAATACATAATTATTTCGAATAAGTAATTTACTCTGCTCGTTATTGTCAACGATATCAACTCATTTTTCAAACTGTATAACAACTACAAATTAATACAAATTAGTTCGCCCGAAGTCAAATACTTCAGATATCAAATAGCAAACATATCACCATTTTATTTAGGTAAATGATCGTCAACTTGATACACTTCAATTATTGTTCTTATTATCCAGTATCTCTAATAAAACTAATCATTTTCGTAAACAAGTTCCACATGAATCATGATCAAAAGATAATAGAACGTACGAAGGAAATGCGGTAGGAGGGATGATGAATATTCAAGGTTGAAGGTAACACACACCTTCGGCTAAAACTTCTTCGACGGTGACAACGAAACGTCCTACTACAAAAACCTTTCCTATGTAACTGTTGGGCTCCTTCGACGTGTTTTCGATCTTTGAAAACAGCTTCTTCATGTTGGTACACGTCGTCGGCCCTCCCAATACTGAACTGGCTTGACATAAGGCCTCCTTTACTAAATTTTTTAACGTACAATATGGCGAATTTGACTTTTTCAATCAATTACATTAATTATACACGTACCTTCCAACCTTCAAGTTACGAGCTTCGTGATAATTTAACGCCAATGAACTTAACCAAAGGAAATGGTTCTAGTCATGATAACAGTTAACGTACTTTACCTAGCCGACATATTCAGACCGTACAAAGTGCGCATGCACCATTTTACAGAACCTATATCGGAAACATATGTGCACAACTTCCGCTCGAATGTCAAAACTTTCTCATTTTTTTAACTAATTCCCCTCTTGAATCGAAAAAATCATACTTCTGTTTTTGTACGCTTTTACATTTTATACGCGCTCCTTTCAATTACCAACACCAATTAAACTTATCTTAACATAACATAATTAATATGCAAACATTAACTCCCTTTCGTAAGATTCGTCATATCAAACAACAGTGCGATCGTAAGACCTATCGTTTAACAAGTTTTTCCGAAGTAGTATCGATATCTACATACACATATTTGTTATGTACAATTTTAAATGATAATTAAGCTGCATTTAATCAATATACAGTTCATTTGATTTATACTTTTTGTATATTTCTTTACAATCTTTCGTATATTAACGACACAAATATTATCTTTCTTTCATCTGTATCCGTCATCTTTCCATATCCCTGTTGCGTTGCATAATACTTGCAAAATTTGCAGGGCACATCCCAGGCTACCTTTCATCAACGTTTCGTGCGCATTGAACGTTTTCATATGGTCTCCTTGGTCACTGATCGATAATAAAAGTATGCGATTCCTAGTCTAGTTGAAAACGATTATTTATTAATCATGAATACGACGCCGATCGGTAATGATGATGATGGCGATGAAAGTAAAGATGACGATGACGATGATATGGTCAAAATATTACTTGAAAGTATAACGTCTTCCGAATGTGAAAATGTACATAATTTTGAAAATAATTCCGAAATAAGTGACGTCGAATTAGCGAATAACTCACAACAGTCTATCACGGGTCGTACGCTGCATGAAAAATGTCAAAATAAAAGTGATTTTATGGAATGCGATATCGAAAATTGTAACGATATGTTGAATTTCAACAAACAGATAGTCTCCTCTTTATTGGATTTAAAAAGGCACCTAACCTTTGCTCTTCAAAAGTGTGAACGAAAATTGGCAGGAATAGAGAGAAGCTTACAGAAACGTACAGCTGGAGACACAAAGGTTTTAATTTGTAACGCTGGCATGCCTTATTTCAAAGATAGAAATTATTTCTTTGCTTCTAACAACGAAGATGAAATATTAAAAGAAAATCACAAAGAATTACAACTGAGAAGTCTTCCTAAAGTCTCTTCGTGGACAAAGAAAGAAAGAGATACGTTTTCACAAGCAATAAAAGAAGAAGTTATCACAGACATGCTATCTTCTCAAAGGGTAGAGCATACAAGGGTCAGTGATACACTGGTTCGTCTAAAGACCAAAATTACAGGAAAAAAGAAAGCAAAGAAACAGTATTCACTTAAAGATTTAGTAGAAATGATTGGCCCACTGGGAGAAAGAGAATTCGATTGGTTTAAAATATCATCCGTTCATTTCGAGGACATACATTCCCCACTTGATTGTCGCGTCATGTGGAACGTTTTTCTTCATCCTGACATCAATAAGACCTGCTGGACAAAAATGGAAGATAAAAAACTCAAGGAAATTGCAAGCAGATATAACTTCCAAAACTGGGACAAGATTGCCAAAGAATTAGCTACACGTCGATCTGCGTATCAATGTTTTATCAGGTACAATACAAAAGGATTGCCTAAAATTAGAAATTGCACTTGGGAATATGAAGAAGATGAAAGACTTTTAAAATTGATAGAAATATTTAAGATCGGTGACTTCATTCCTTGGGGCGAGGTAGCTAGTTGGATGCAAAATAGAACTAAACAACAAGCCTATTTTCGATGGATATATAGCTTAGCACCGTATCTAACAAAAGGTAGATTTACTAAAAGTGAAGATAATATTCTGAAGGATGCTGTTATCAAGTATGGTACAAATTTTCGTAAGATATCAGCCGCACTGATGCCTAATAGATCTACAATTCAGCTTCACGACCATTATCAAACATTAACCACAAATCTAGTGGAAAACTGGAATCGATGGACACTCACAGAAGATGTAAAGCTACTAGACCTGTTTAGACGTATCGGTCCAAATTGGTCCGCTATAGCTAAAGAATTTACATGTAAAAGTAGAACTCACTTGAGACATCGGCACGCAGCTTTGCAAAAGTACATCAAGAGGGGTGTTTCCCTATCTGATCTACATCAAAATCATTGTAATAACGAGAGTGGAATAGAACAAGAAGAGAAGGAAGAAGAATCCTGTAAAGGTATGTTCGAGTCTAGCAGTAATGTAACCGATATAAATTGTAACAAAGATATAGATAAAGAGTTACTCGAGTACTTTTCTATAAAATACAAAACAGAATATATCATCGATAAGCGGAAACTTTATACTATGGAAAATTTGAAACATGCCACAGCAAACTTATACAACATTTTACAAGTACTGAACGCCAAACTTTCTATACCTGATGACATCAGCGATATAAAGATAAACAAGAGGGACCGGCAACTTTTCTATTCGTTAAGAGAACATATAGAAATGAAAAATGATAGGAATAGGTACTTCGAAGTTATCGATAATTATAGGTCGCGCATGTTTGGTACAAATGTAGCTAAAGAAGAAGGTTCTCATTTTGTACCTCCATCTCCTTTCGACTCGCAGATAAAATTAAAAAAATCAAGGAAATGCCAATGCATTGACTATAATTTAAATACAAAGAATAACTTTTTGCTTGAAGAACCAATAGATTTTGATATTCCGGACTTTGTAATTTCTTACATTGGTGGTAACGAGCAAGAATTACAATTTCAAAAACTTAGTCATTTGCTACGAGTTAATAATTCAAGGGGTAAACAACCCCTTAATGTTCAACACTTTTCTATATTACCAGAAGAAACATTATTACAACGGCATGTTAACGATAGAAATGATTCGATTGGCAGAAAGACACTAAAAAATACGGAACTGATTTCCGATATCGCTACCACATCTTTCGAAAGTGCCAATAATGAATATCATAAGAAGCTATGCGCACAAACCTCCAAAAAAGATAACTATTCGCTAATTAGTAAAGCTGAAGATGTTCACTCTTGGTCAGCGTCAGAATGCATGAGAGTAACTCGAAAACACGATACACCCGTGATAGATGCTACCCATGCAACTTTATTCAGTTTCAAAAATTTAACGTACCTAAGACAATTGAATGGAAAATATTGCAGTAGTAATAGTAGTAGTGATAGTCTGGATAAATTTTTTATACAAGAAAACAAGTTTCAAGAAGCATTTCATTTACTGGAAACACGTTTGGAACAAATGTTTAAATATCCAATTGGTTTATCAAAAACTGTATTGCCGGAAGTTTATGCGATGGACACATTTTCGTACGATGATGACGCATCGGATAGAACTACTCCCGAAATGTCTGAATTATTAGAAAAGCATACAACAAAAAGAAAGTTACTATCGTCGTCAAACAGGAACGGTAAAAAAAGTTTCAGATGACAACGCGGAACAGACGGGGATCGATTTCATCGTTTCATTTTGAGCCAAAGATACGAGATTTAATCTTTTATTTATGTCATGCATATATCGTGCGTTCTATGACGTATTAAAAAATAAACAAGACTGTTCTTTCCAAGGTAAATACTTTAAAAAGAAATGCGTTACGCAATTATTTACCAATTTATTATTACAAATGAAGCATCTCCGATCAGTTTTAATTGTAAAATGTGCGACAAATTACACTCTTCTTGTAAGATCGACACCGTGTTTGTTTAATGACCACTTCATAAAAACACGAAAGGAAAAAATAAAATGCAAAAACGTTCGTTTCCTGAAGCACACGGTTTAGAGTATTACATTTATTTATTATTCGAGAAGTGAAATGTACCGGCCGGTCAAGGATTTTGAACGTGAGTGGGGCGGCGGGACGATGTGCGGTACGCCACGCCTCGTCGCGCAGAAGGTAATTCTACGAAAGATAAATTGAAAATATAGAATAACATTAAAACAGCTTAGTTTTCAAGGAAATTGCTCGGACCACTACATATGCGTACTACTACCTCGTTTGGTAGGGCTTGTAAACACTTAAAAGAGCCGGCAGAGAAGTGGCCTTTTGACCGGCTAATACTACATTTCGCCTCTAGTATAGTATTAGGTCATATGGAGAGCGAAATATCATCGATCAGATACAAGTTATTTATCGGTAAAATAACGCAGTGGAATTTAACACACACGCACGCAAAAAATGGCAAACGAATATTTTAAATATGTAAGAACAGTGGGGATGGGATGATTTCTTGTAAATTTCCAACAAACGTTTTATAAAATTATCGACCTAAGAGAAATCGTGTATATTTTTCTTTCATTTCTCCTTCTTCCTTTCTTTTGCCCTAACCGGTGTTCGGATTCTAATCGGGTATATTTATCCACATAAATGTAAGGACAATGGAAAAACAAGGAAAACTCGAGCACAGATGATCATGTGACCCCGTAGAAGGGTTACTGCATAATTCAAGAAATAATTTATATTTGCGCGACTCAATGATCGATCATACACCTGTACACGCAGGCATGTCTTACGAGTGTAACCGACCTTCAATCATTTTTTTACCGAAAATATTATAAAAATGAGATAAGTGATTTTATTTTTTCTTCAAAATTGAATTATTGTAGTTAGTCATAATAACTGTACAACCTGCTGTAAAGACTCCCCATAGAAGGAGGCTAGCTTCAACTCTATGAACTAAAGATCTAATACTATCGAGGAGTAGTTTCAACGGTTCGTTCGTAACTTTAAAAGTTGGCTTGTCTTGAATAATTTTCATCTTCGATAAATATTCGATAAGCGGCGTATGATCGTGACTAAATATTGGAAAATACTCCCCAACCTTTTCCCTCGTCCACCAGGCTTGTTTATTCCACCTAATCAAGAAAAAAATGACGAGATGATATAGAGAGAGAGAGAGAGAGAGAGAGAGAGAGAGAGAGAGAGAGAGAGAGAGAGAGAGTACATGTCGTGTCGTGCTGAAACGTGTGTACAAAACGCGTTAAAAATGCTTACGATTGACTCCATGGAGTGTAGTGATAACGATAAAGGCTAGCTTTGATATATTTCGGAGGTTTTTCACCAAACGGATTTTCCACGTCATTCATTAGAGTCAATACTTCCGGCTGACCGCTCAGAAGACGGTAGGCTAACGACATTAACCATGGATTTTGGTGATAAGTACCCAGTGCAGCAAACCACATTTGCCAATCGAGCCGTGGCTGATGAGGAGCTGAAAACAATTAACACCGATAAAAATTGTCGGCAAATTTTACTCATCTTGTTGTTAATAGTGAGAAAAAAATAAAAGAAAAGTTTGGCATATTTATCTCTAGCCTTGACCTACCAACAAAAGGTAACGAGTTATTAACATTTCCTGGTTTATACAAAAATTCGTATTCTTTCCACGGACCGTCGATACTATTACTTCCTTCGATGATTACTTCCGGTCTACCTCCTATTCCTGTCATACGTCTAAATAATCCATAACTATTTACCAAATGAAGATGATCAACCTTTCCTTGTACCTGTCTCAACTGAATCGGTATTGTTGAATTGTGAGTGTGATGTAACGTAGCGTATGGTACCTAAGCACAAATATATCGTTACAGTTAATGTCAAATTGTTAAATTGAAATTAACACAATTACGTACAATACTTATAGCAAAGATAAAACAAACTGCACCCGTGTACAGACACGTAACGAATGTTGTAAAGATTTTATTTTGTATTCCTTTCACTGCTAACAAAGAAACAACTATTGCGTTTGCCACTGTAAAACCAAGTGATATTACACCCATATAGATTGAAATTGGAATTGTTCGTGATAGAACGTAATCAAATTGTTTTTGCGTGAATGCTGAAACGATAGAGAGAATATCAATTATTTATAAAATGGTACGGTACGATACGCGTCTTGCGTTGAAAATATCTACGCACCGATGTCACTTTGAACAGTCCAATTGTCAGAGATTCTAAGGTTATAATATACGTATGTTGCATAAAAGATTCCTGCGTAAACTAGAATACACAATACCGTGGAGAAACATTTTGTAAGATTATAGGAATTACTTTTAGATTTTCTCTTATAGAAAAATTGATCGTCGAGTAAAGAGATGCATAAACAGATTGTTAAAAAGTTGAAAAAATTATAATTTCCTGTCGCTATAATGTGTATTTGAAGGAACACCTAATAGAAAAGAAAAAAGAAAGATCATTAAATAAATAGTCGTTCTAGCAACTACATATATCAGATGACAACTCGTGATTTTATAATTGAATTATATAGTCCGAGTTATATTTACCTGCGTATAAAATGCTATTATTCTCACTTTTCTGTTTGGGAAGAAGAACAAAAATGGAACGACGAGTTCGAAAATATTCACGATCGCAGTAGTGAAACGTAAGAACCATGTTGGTAAATGATGTGCGTACCATGCTAACGGAGTAGGTATACACTGCGACTCAAAATGCACATTTAACGCTGAAACATTATTACAAAGAAGTGAACATTCTCGTTCAGCTTTGAATTTATTTTCATTCAAACATGTTTATCGAATTATCATACCATCTAATTTCCACCATACGGGACAACCAGAGGTAAGTTTCACTACCCCGCTAGAAAACATTAAACGAAAAAGTAACCAGCGTACAGTCCAAAAAGTTACAGCATCACTCGGTGTGCTTACTTTTCCACGCTGAGAATAGTAAAATGGCGCTACAAATATACACAAAAATCCCGCTTCCAATAAAAGTACATCCCTGCAAACGTATGCAAAACTTTCTATGTGCTTATCATACAGATAAATTATTGCTTTATACACTTCCAATTATACATATATCTCTCTCCAATTACAGTAGATTCACATTAATTAAACGCAGCTTAGGCTTGACCCGAAATCCAATATCAACAGGATCAATCAAAAGAAAATCCATCATGTGAAATTAGTGCAAGCAACAGCGATCTGCGTGCAACTAGCGCGACGCTACCGTAATAACAATATAGTTAAACGAACAACTTGAAAGTATATGCTATGCATAAAAATACATTAAAAATGTAGAATACTTGCCATTGGAACCACATAAATGTCTGACCGATTTGATACAGGGAATAATATAATGACCAAAGTAATGCAAACACCAATGTGATACAAAATTTCTGTGAAATAAATCTGAAAATGACCACTATTAGCAAATTATACATTTGCGTGTTGTTTAAATGAAAAAAAGGTGACCAAACTTATCCTTACCCAGCGAAGGAAAAGGCAACGCCAACAAGTGACAATATGTCCAACATATATTCCACGTTTAGTCCAAAGTAAGGAGCAAACCATAACAAGGTTGGTTTCTGTTTTAACTTGTGCAATAAGGGTGTGCGACTTTTAAGATCTAATTGAGTCCTAGCTGGTAAGATTCCATTATCACCGTATAATCCTTTTGTTCATAAAAAATAAACAGGTATGTTTGAAATATAATTGTTGTTAGAACACACAGTGATATATTGAACAGAAACAGAAGGAATTACGTAGAAATGCAAAAATGTAACGACATACTGGAAATGAAACATACTGGAGTTTCCAATCGAAATAATCCCACATATGTATCATCGCGTACTCACCTGGAATTTGTATATAAAAACTAAGGAACGCAAATAGATATATGATGCATATTCCTCGTAGAAATAAATTCCGAGTATATCGTACTTGAACCATGGTAAATTATTGCACTTGTTTATTTATTTTCAAAGATTAATATAATTCATTCGAGTATGAATGATTAACGAGAGACCTGTGAAAACGAAATGATTCATAGATATAGATGCTTAGTATGTATACACAATTAACAGTTTCAATTCTATAATAATCAATTACAAATATTTTCAGCTATACCACGGCCCGTGAACTTTTTATTTTTTAAATTTCAACTACCTTACAACCTAACTGATATCGCGAAACAATAGAATATCGTTTACCGAGTGTGTGAACTAAACATGCATGTAACCTTCGTTCGCAAGCATATGTACACATATTATGAAGAACGAATGCATGCTCGTATGTACATAAGTACAATTGGCGGCTTCGAATGTTTCTTCCTAAACATCTTTTAGCACTATTTCACGTTACACGGTTGGTAGGAAGTATTTCTGTTGCATTACGAAAGTCTGTCATGCTTGTGTTTACATTTTGTTAAAAATCGTACGATATTACTTAAAAATAACAAGAAAAAATGTATTTTATTCCAAAATTTTACTCGCTTAATGTTATAGTAATAATAATTACGATGTATGAAATTCTATGATAACAATGTTCTATCTCGTTCTATAAATTTCGATGCTTTTTTAAATCTACGTCATTCATAATTTATAGGTGATTAATAATTTTTAAAATAACAATTTTATCATTTCCGTTTAACAAGTAGAGCTATATAACGAATAATCGAATGTCATTGTAAAACTCGAAATAGTTGTAACTATCTTGAGTAATCTGTGCTTGAAAAATCGGACTGATCAAACGTTTAATATTTATGAAATTTTTAATACATTTTATATTTGCATTTACAAAGAACTATCCAATAAATTAACCAAATTTGTTTATATTTTCATTTTATATTGCACTTCCATCGCGGATAGCTGTTTCATCTGGTGCTTATTGTTGAAATTCTCGATAAATTGCACGAACTCATTGCGTTCCACCTCATTCATTACATTGAACTTTTTTTTCTCATTGTTTATCCATATCTGGGTACTTTCTGTGTAGTTGAACCAATAATAAATTCCAATTGGAAATAATATATACGACGTCATCCTTGCAACCTCCATTTGCCAGTTCGCCATGGCTTATAAATTTATAAGCAAAATGTTTAAAGATATAAATAAAATCTATACCATAACGTAAAACATGATTAGTTAGGTTTATTATAATTACAATTACACACTCTATTTGCAACATGCTTAAATAGATAATTAAAACATGCAAATATATTTACCTTCGTGTTAAATGAGAAAAGTAATTCTCTCGAACCTTTAAAAGAGAGGACAAACAACGTTCATTATAGTATCAAACAATGTATGCATACAATTGGGTAAGATATAACGTGTTATTAGAAAAAATGTCTTTATTGATTTTGATTTTATTCTATTGATATTAATCTCACACCGAAATCATATTATTATGGAAAACTTACACTTTATACGCGTATTTTTAACCTATTACAAACATATCTCTTCCTAACGGATGAGAATCACTGGTATAGGGAAGAGAATAATTTAGTTCAAATATAGTTTGAACGTTGGCAAAAGTGTATTGTTAAAAGATATGCCGCTTAAGGTTCGTCAAGTCTCGTTTCGTGATATTATTGTATTTTAAAGTGGAAGTTCTGTTTTAACGATTCCGAGGATGATGATGCTTTTTCAATGATATAATCGGATTTTGAGCACCGATAAGCATCATGGAAACATTATTACCTTCGGAAATAGCTAGATTAGTTCTCGGTAAGGAAGGATGATATGACGTACATCTTTAGCGTCATATTATGTACAATAACTTGTCGTGTGGCGGGAATGTAAATATTTTCCGTTTATTTAATTATACGAGTGAAATGGCACAAGGAAAGTAAAAAGAATGCAATTTCAGTTAAACAAATGTACAGATGTTGAATAAGTAAATGTTAAACATGACACATATAGTATTGTTATAACAAATGACATTTCATTTTATACATGCTTATACATATATGTATGTATGTATGCATGCATGTATGTATGCATGTATATATGTATGATGTATGTACATATATAGAACATGCGTAGCTTATAACATAGTTTCTATCATTTTGATTAAAATGTTTTAAAACTTTCTTATATGTAGAATTTACTATGCAACTGGTTGTAGGATACCTCGAAGGTGAAAAATGCATAGAAGCAGCAAAGGTGTTTTTAGAGACATCCCCACATTTGCAAGAATGTCGTACTGTAATTTCAAATGGAAGAAGATTTAGTACTAGAGTCAGCGGAACGACATTGTTAGATATTATGGAAAAGTTTTACGCGATTAATGCAACAGGTAAGAACAATGCAGATCGAATGGTAAGAGTCACAAGCACCCCTAATGCTACTGCTATTACTTCCATCTGCGTTGGATTCCTTAGAAAAAATTGAAAAAAGGACATTTGTAATATTTGTTTATAGTTCAAGAACGTCTCGGCAAAATTGCCGATTGTGAGCAATTAAAGCAGTGCGGAGACTTACTGGAACAGTTGAAGTTTCTCATCGAAGAAACTCGTGGGCAACGTTTCGTTGTTAATATAAACGTTCCTTCGCAGGTATGAGAATAAGAATGTTAATCGACGATGCCGTTAATACCGATATAATATTATGCCAATTATTAAAATGGGTTTCAATATTACTTTCCACATTTACAGACTAATTCTCAAATGTGCAATGGTTCTCCTATAATATCTAGTAGTACACGTAAAAGACGTCATAGTAACAGTGATCGCGAACGGTGTAAACGTACGAAGGTAACATCGAATGCACCTCAGCAGCCTGATTCACCCTCCACTCGAGGTATTACAGATATAGAAGATTTTGTTCGGAATATTACAACAAGTTTTCAGTATTCTTCTGATATTTTCAGTTCTTGTGTTAGCATTCTTTTGTCGTTACAGTATCCAGTTTCGATAGCGTAGAAGCAACTCCTTTGGAAAGTTTACCAGGCCACGTGGATACGTTCGAAGGATCCAGCAGATGTTTCGGTGATCCGAAGGAGAAGAAAGTGAATAACTCTGCGTGGCAGCATCAAGGTCTGTTCACAATTCGAATGCATGTTATTATTTCGGTTATCGATCTTTCCGAATTTGAGTTAAATCATTAGGTTGAACGAGTATCGAGTGTAACGATTGAGTATAATTATCAAATGGTTAATACCCGAATTAGGTGGGCATCGAAATGTTCCGAACATAGGTGAGGAGGAGGTGATCGTGGATAACGAGGAGTGTGAAGAAAGCGATAAAAATAAAGACTCGTACACGGTTGAAAAATGTACTGCGGCAACAAGCACGGAAGAATTATTGAGCTACTCGTGTGCACAAGTTCAGACTACACCGTACGATACACCGGAGTCCGAATCGGAAAGTAACGATGAACCGATAGAAAATCTAAGTGTAAGTGTAGTAGAAACAGTGCAATCATTTTTGTCAGGTATATAGTGATTTTTCGATCGATCTTTAATATTTCATCATTTTCATCTGTATTGTGTAGCTGCTAACGAAAGAGCTGTTGAACCGTATAGAGTTGCAAGAGCGAATCGCTGAGAATATCAATAAAGCGATACTTCCAACGGATACATCTTTGAAAGATGAAAGTTTAAACGATTCCGCGAACGGTGAAACAAACACTTCTATCGTGACAGAATTGAATAACGCTATTAAGTCAATAGTAGAGGCAACAGAGTCTGATCCCGTGTTTGAAAAATTTCTCGACGAAATGATCGGACCGTACAACAGCGCAGAGACTGATACAAGTCCCGATAAAGATACCGAAACTAAATCGAAATTGAAATTTCTCAATGGATCGCGAGAGAAACAGCAAGGTGAAATGATTCCAAACTTGGGTAACGATAATCCACCAGAATCTACGATATTAGATGTTAAACCGTCTGGTGAATTAGATGCAGTAGGAACAGCATCAACAGCAGCAGCGGATGTGCCATTGAAGCATAGACTTCGTAGCTCTTCGAGACAACAAAATGTTCGAATCGAAGACGAACAACGAGATCAAGACAGAGAATCGTATAGTATTTTGGAAGATCAGAACGCCGCTGCGGTGTTAAGCATAATAAATGCAAACGTCGTTAACAATAAATCGGTAAACGACGAGAGAGTCATTGATACCACGAAAGAAATTGTACGTTTATTGGAGAATGACGATGAGAGAAAGTTGCCGACATTTGAAATTTCGTTTAACAAAGATACAACGATGAGAATAACAACATCCAGAACAGCAACAGCAGCAGCGGCATCGTTGCTAACAACAGCGACAGCATCGACGACGACGACGACGACGACGACAACAACAACAACAACAACAACAACAACAACAACAACAACAACAACAACAACAACAACAACAACAACAACAACAACAATAGGGCAAAGTGAAAAATTCGTAAGCGACGATAAGCGAGAAGACGATATCAAGATTGTTAAAACGATTCAAGGTAACGACGCGGCATCGTCAAAAATGAAAAAGGCTTCGGTGAAACGATTGCGATCGACAAAGCCTAATAAACAGCGCGGTACAGAGAATATTGGGAGCGATTACATGTCCGAGCAAAACATAACGACTATACCGACATTGATAATGTGCTCGAAAGAAGAAATAAGCAATATGTTGTCGACAATTTCTCCTTATCCGCCTCCAACTCGTTCCATAGCATCTACTGCAAATTCACGATTCATTCCTATCGTTCCCAAGGATCCTACTACCAATAAAACAAGCAAAGATTTCGTAGAAACGTTGTATCTAAAAACTGTGAATGTCGCTCAAAAAATTACATCACCACTTCCTAGCGTCCTTAATATACCGGCTGTCGGTTCAAACAGTTTAATTTCTCGCGCAGCAAATACCGCAACGGTAACGACGACGGTAACGATGACCGAGACGGCGACAGCATCAGCAACAACGATAACGACAACACCGTCGGAAACATGTGAAAAGGGGAACAACAAAATGGATGATAAGAAAGAAAAATGCACCGCATCCATTGACACTGTGAATAATTTGATCGGTAACTCAGTTACGAGTCACGCGGTGTCTAACGTTGGGAAACTGGTCACCGGAGAATCGATAACTCTGTACGGTAATGAAAATCATGTAAAAACATTACTGGATAGTTCGAGCATGCCTACGATAAATATAGAAGATAACGTTAGCCTATCAGGTTCTGGATTGTCTCCTTATATAAAGTTCAATTGCAGCAAAAGTAGTCAAAACCACAGTTTGTCAGATATTGATTTAACGCCAATCTTGCAGAATGCCGCACCAGTTAAAGCGAATACCAACATCGTTAACGATCATCATCATCATCATCACCACCATCATCATCATCATTCTCATCATTCTCATTCTTTAACTTCCAAGAATACCGATTGCGATTTCATTGATAAACGAACTCCAAGATCCTTGCTGAGAAGTAGATCGAAGAATCACAGGTTAAGTTTATCAACACCTAGAAGGAGGAGTAACCATATAAGGGCTCTCGATTTTAACACTCCAATGAAGATAGCGGCAGCGCCGACGGCAACCGAATCATCTTTACGTAGAACTTCCCTTTTCAAGTCCCCACCGTTTGCTGCAAACGCTACTACACTATCCACACATAAAATAAAAAGTCCGTTGAAACTTTGTCGTCCTTGTAAAATTCCGATTGCGACTAGAAGCCCCGTGCCGAAGCTATTGGGCGATTGGGAGAAACATAACGGAGTTGGTCTGATTATAGGCGATGTTCCTTCTCCACGTTCGGATATTCAAGTCTCAACAACAGGACAGTCCAAGACGTCAACAAAAATCGCTAAAGACACGTGGGACGCAGATTTACGGAAAGCTATACAAATTACCGTGCAACAAGATCATCAGAAAGCCAAGGTGTCTACCGGGAAGAAGAGCAATTGTCCGAAACTTGCCACTAAATCGAACGTCGTCGTCGTCGTTACATCGACAAAGGACAAATGCTGCAACTCACGCGTATTCAAGGAGCAAGGTAGAAGTACTGCGTCAAAAGAGGCTGACGTTGCGGCAGATGAAAAGGAGGGACGTATCATCGGAGAGCAGCAGAATGCGAGAAACGCGCCGATTGTAAAAGGCAGCACAGATTCTAAGCTATCAGAAACGGAGAAAACTTGTACCCAGCCAACGGATAATTCCAGCAACAACGGCGACGATGATGCCGTCAATTCACGCGACACCATCATAATCACAACAGCAGTTGCAATGACGACGACGACGACGACGACGACGACGACGAGTAAATGTAAAGATGTTTCCGAACCAAAAAACATCGACGAGGAAAAGAACCGACGATGCAGCAATAACATGACAACGACAATCGATAACGATAATACGAATTCGGAAATGGAAAAGAAAAGCACGAAAAAGTACGCTCAGTTAAAAACATTGAAGACTAATCTGAATAAATGCAGCCAGATCGAAAAAAAACCGTGTTCTTTAGGCATAATGACGCAATGTTCTGAATTCTCGAATCGAACTTCCACGGATATTACGCAACAATTCCTCCAGCAAATGCCAAATTTGAACGATTTAGAAACACCGAGGAAATTTGAAAGGCCTTCCGATGTTCCACCGACGCCAAGATTACTCAGTCCGAGCAGTAGTACGACGCCGTTTGTAAAGTCCAACGAAGATTCTAGCAAGTTACGTGGTTTCATAAATACCCCTGAATTTCCGACAACACCTTGCATCGCGTTAACACCAAAGATCTCGGAGGAAACCGCCGATGACAATACGAAAAAGGAAACGTTTCATTCTTGTTCTCCGTATTATAAACCAACATCCGAGCAAAATGAAAGTTTCGAGAACTTATCAAGATCAAAGTCGGCTAACGGTGTTCAAAAATCATCCATAATACCGTCACAATGTATCAACCAATCTACACCTCGTAGCGTTATCACCACCTCTGCAAATACCTATCAAGCTTGTATATCTGCCAAATTAGAAATAACACAGTTCGAAGTGATCAAAGAGAATTTGCCAAAGGAAGAAGCGATAAAAGAACTTAAAATATCAGCCAATTCTCGAGATTCGACATATTTTACAAAGTTGACCAAATCTGATTCTATTCATCAGGATGATGTTAAAAAGATTACTAATCCAATTAATTGTGAAGGTGATCATTGTCGCGCGATAACCAATACAGAAAAGTATTTATCGAATAGCGAAGATTCGAAAGATAGTGATGCATCATCATCATCGTCAACGTCATCTTCCTCCTCCTCTTCTTCAACGTCCTCATCGTCCTCATCATCATCGTCGTCGTCCTCGTCGTCGTCGTCGTCGTCTTCGTCGTCGTCATCCTCTTCGTTGCCAACGTCATCACCTATTCCCACTAATTTCAAGCAAACCAATTCGTCGGAAAAATCTTCCCCCACTATTAGGGGATGTAAAAAAGTGTCGAAGCAAATTTACACCGATACGAGCAACGAGCATATTACAGGAAATAGTTCACCAAAGTTGGAAATCAATTCAACGGATCTGCTTCATACGGAAGAGGCAATTATTGCTTTGGAAAAGTGTGAATGTTCGCCGTCGAAAGTATTTCCATTATTGAAATGTGAAGAAGACTTAAAATCTGGTACAAAAGAAACACCTGCCAAAGATGAAACTTTGTTGAACGAAGTAGACATTTCCGAGACTCCGAATAGTTCCAAGGCTGGCGTGGAGAATCTGACCAATTTATCTTCGAAAATTTCAGCGTTAATATCAACTTCAGAAGAGTGCAACAAGTTGACAAAACCGAATGAAAATCTATTTGTAGAAAATTCTCCGACCAAGACGTTTATACAAAAACCAAAAATATTAAATATACAGCACGTAAGATCCAACTCCTTGATTACCTTCAAACCTACCAAATCGACGAAACATTCTTCACTGCTGCGAAAAAGGCAAAGATCTCTAACTGTAGATGAAAAATTTGTTGTTCAATTGGAAGCTAAACGTCAACGTATGATAGCGAAATTTCGAGAAATTCCTAAAGCCAGTCTTACTAAAGGAAAATCTCAGCAAACGCGTATTATCTTCGGAAGTGGTAAAAGCAATATTAATTTAAAGAAAGTGAACAACCGATACAGGCATATCCGCCGGAACAACGAGAATGAATTTAACGAGAAGAAAAGAAACAGGAAGAAAAAGAAAAAGATGGAAGAATCAAATAACAACAATACCAGTGACAATATCAGCAGTAAGAACAACAATAACAACGACGACGACGACGAAACTCATGTTAACATGATCACTAATGGGAATGTTCGTGGCAATAATAGCGGTAACAGCAGTAGTAGTACTCATAATAGCATTGACAACAATAACGATGATAATAATGACAATGACAAGAATAGTAATTGTGACAAGGACGCAAAAATAAAGCATTCATCTATGAACGATGCAGTACCAAGAGGTATAAAGTGTAGTTCTGAAAAAAATGTTAATAATAACAATAGTATACGAAATGACACTTCGACATTTGAAATTACGAATAAGATAGCCGCAGAGGCAAACGATGATTCAAAGAAAATTATCCAAGTAGCGACTAAAGATATTATTACAAATGACGTTCGAGTCCATGATACGATTAAGAAAAGACAACCTGCTGAAACGGAAGATCAAATTTATAATTTGAACGCCAGTGTGGAGAGTGAAAAAGAAACGATACAGTCTGAAGCGATGGATGCGGCGGCGGAGGGTATAAACGTAGAAACGAAACACGATCGTGCTAAAATTTGCGCTCTAGAAAAACCTATACATTTCTCAGAAGAATACAAGTTGGACAGTAGTCAAATATCGAAGAATAGCAACGAGGAAGACGCGTCATGTAAATTAAAAGAATATCCGAACAATAATGGTAAAACAAATATCTTATTCAAATCAAAAATTGACCAAGTAAAACGAGATTTGTTTAGCGATGACGAGAATGATCACAATCGAACGTTTAGTGCTATCAACTTGTCGTCTTCTAATCAAAGACACGATGGTGGCAATGGTGCTGCTGCAGCTGCTACTACTACTACTACTACTACTACTACTGCTACTACTACTACTACTACTACTACTACTACTACTACTATTACTACTACTACTACTACTACTACTACTACTACTACTACTACTACTAACACTACTACTACTGCTACTGCTACTGTTGTTCATACTCGAGTGCTCGACGACGAAACTGGCAAAACAACACTAGCAGAAAATACCGATTCGGAAAATCCCAAGAATTTATCACGCGTTCTTCAATGTTTGGAACTCGTTCCCACGTGTAAACACGATTACGTGGAGCAATCACAATATCAATATATGAAATACAATCATAAAACGGATCTCAACGTAACTGTACCCAACTCGGTAGAATATCATTTTCTATATGACGACAACGTGTTGTCCTTCAAGAAAAGAAGGCGAAGATACAGCAACCATGATCTGGAATTTCAAATTAACATCATTTTAAACGATCAAAATTACGACGAATGCGTTAAAGTGATGACAGCTACTGATTACGAAGAAATATTTAATCTCCCGCCAAAATCCAGAAAAAGATTTGGAAGTAGGAAATCACCCATCAAACATGAAAATAGTTGCGAAACCTTCGGTAAAACAAAGTCTAACGATTCTTCAATTATAAAAACTATACATACCAAGCCGTTAGCAACTTCCTCTCCACTGGACAAACCACTTGTGTGTAAAGTGAAAAAGATCGCTATTAAAACATCTATGATCAACGAAAAAAATAACGACATGATGCAACACGATAATAGAAAACAGCTAAAAGCAGAGAAAACTCAAGAAATCGATAAAGGTAATTTTCTATCCTTGTTCAAAGTAAAACTATTCAATCGTGTTAAAAATGACTTACCAGTGTCAATTTCAGATAATGTTGCAGCAAAAGTTCCGAAGAAGAAAGTATCGGAAACAAAAGAAAATAAACAGGTTTGTAATCGCGATCGTTTATTCGTTTCGCAAACGGGCTTAACAAAAAAAATACAACGATTAATTTCTTCTTTCAGATTGAAAAACGACAGTGTTCAACGGATCCGCAAACATTACTGAACAATTTGGATCTGGATAAGTTTCTAACTTCCGTTCACGGCCCAGCATGACCGCACACTTAGTAGTTCAGTAACTTACCAACATTGTACAAAAACTTGAAACATACATAGTTTACAGTCACAAATATTTTCGATTTTATTCTTCCAAGTTATATATTATTTCTCAGAAATTGTTTTGCGTTAAACGTTCTGTTACTTGGACAATGTGTAATAACACGTCGAAATGAAAATTAACATTTCATGTAATTAAATATTCTTTCTTGTCACTTTGTTGCTAGCATCAAACTTCTAATCTGTACCTTGACACGTTTGTAGGATGGAAACAATTCTTTATTAAAAAATATCACACAAAAAGGATGTAAATGAATATACAAGTAAAAATTATGCACAAGAAGCAACATATACTTTCTTTATAAATAACAGGAAAGTTGTGTATTAGTTATCGGAAACCCTTGAAATAGTTATACTGCGTATAAAGAAGAAAATCAGTACTCAAGATTTAGACTTTACAACTTTGTCTACATCTTCCAGAACGGATAGTAGTTTTCGCCATTGTGACATGTTTAAACAAATACCTGTGGAAATGAAGATTTTATCTTCTTTAGTTTGCTATTAAATCATTTTTGAATAAAAGCCAACATTGTAAAGCTCACTAATACCTTTCCTTCCAGGTTTCAAATTTGCATCCTTATCGTAGTACATTTCTCTAATGTCGACGTATAATTTTCCTTTTAAGTGTTTTACAGTAACTTTACGATTACTACCCAAGTCCCAAGTATCATCTTCATCTTCGTTCGATTCCTGTCTTGGCTTTTTCGATACCTTATCCTCCTCCTTCTCTGCTGTTTCCCTCTTTCGCACCTTCTTTGGTTTCGCTTCCTTTCAAAGAGAGAGAGAGAGAGAGAGAGAGAGAGAGAGAGAGAGAGAGAGAGAGAGAGAGAGAGAACACGTACTATTGAATCGATCCTTCAGAATTTCGATAGATCCTCGTACAAAATCTCCAATGCAAAGGTGTGTGTGCGCGCGCGCGCGTGTGTGTGTGTGTGTGTGTGTGTGTGTGTGTGTGTCGATAGAAATGAAATACCTCTTCGCTGCTGTCATCGTCGCTTGACACGTATTCTTTTGATTTCGGCATTTCCTATAAATCCGCTCACCTACAATAATTTTATTAAATTCAACAGTATATCAAATTATACTATTATTCACCCTTACAGTATAATATTTAATACACAAGGAAACAAATTAACGATAATTTTCGAAAAATTAACGGTTCTGTATGTTCTAACCTAATACTACATCGAGTGCAATATCCTGTACTTATTGTATATACCTTAATTTGTTCAGTGGATGTAACGATTGAAACAAACTTCAATTGATTTAACAAAGATATAATTATATTCCACTTATCGAACGAACGTACAATAATACGCAGCTTGTTACAACGCAACACGGTTCAAACTATAAATCAGAAACGAATATCAAATGCCTATGGCGCGCGCGTACATCGCAGCATACACATACGACTTCCGTCTTTTAGATCAACATTCGACTCAAGTAGTGTATTTATTTCCGTTTCGTAAATAACGTATAAAATATACCCCTCTTTAAAATATACGTATATCGTACGATCAACTAATATTTATTCGTTTTCTTTTGCTTTTGCTGTCTGCACGAAACTTATAACAAACAGTCGTTAAATTATAACGGTCAAATGCACTCAATTTTTGTATTTTATATCAGCGAGAGCATATGTATACAGATAATTTTGATACTTACAGACAAGATGTAACGAAATAATGATAAAACAGTTGTTACTTTCTCTTCGACTTACATTCTACGATCATATCTGGTAGTGTATACAAAACTGCTGTTCTTCGAGTTCTAATATGTAACGCAGCGAAATATAACGCATCATGTGGTATAACACACGTTATACATTGCAACATTGACAATCAATATTAAATTGAATATATTCTTTGTTGTCGCATGCGAACAACTTGGTACTTGTCGAAATATAACAACACAGTTCCATACTTTTACGTGTAATTTGACGCATCTCAATTCTCATTTCATTCATTATCATACGTGGTGTAATACGATATAGAGTCTAACACATAGAATCGATTAGGAATTACGAAAACTGTATCACGTCAAGGAGAACGCATGTATTACCTTATGTAAAAAAAAAACTTTCTAATTGCAATTTTACGTACCGATCGGAAGCGATATATCTCGTACACGTATGTACATAGATGGATGTAAATAACGAATTACGTTTTGTCCAGTTTTATTTTTATAATCAATTTATCTTAATAATTCAGTTTTTTTATTTTAAAACATATCGCTATTCCCCCACATTATTTTATCATCGTACCTTCCGTCCTTTTAGAAAAGTGTTTCTTTTTCTCTCTCTTTTATTCACAGTAATCAATTTAATTTTATCAATTGTTACCATTCGCTGTTCGTGTCGCGCGTGTTAAGGGCCGTCGGCTATCTTCATCCGACCCGTATGTTACATCTTCATCCGATCCATAAATGACGTCTTCGTCGGAATCATTAATCATAGAAAAGGTGGGGTTATCCTTTGTTATAGAAGAATCTAGAATCCAACAATTCAGTTCTGATAATATGTTATCTTTAAAAAAGCTTCATTGCTCTATCGAAGATGCAAAAGATACTTACGTTGACCGTACAATTGTTCATACGCCGGTGCATATACATAAGCCATAGTATACAGGTAAAAATTAAGAAGTCCGTACAACGCCATAAATTGAGCGGATGAACGATAATAGGTGGTAAGGCGAGAGGCAAAACTATCTTCAAAAATACCAGCTCCAAACTGTCGCGCTGTCACACAACCGCAAACCAACGAAACTACCGCGGCAAGCAACGTCAAAAAACGTAAACGAAGATCTAAGAAAAACAAAAAAGAAGGAAATGAAGAAGATATAACATGTTACATATAACATATTAAATACACATATTATATCATACCAAAGTACGGCATAGATCTTAATTCGCTGTATGCTCTCAATATCAAGAGAAGCAGATACGCTATGTAAAATCCTCCTACTGTGAAGAAGAACACTTTGAAACCCTGTAATTGCATACCGATTATCGAACGTTTTTTTTGTATATCAAGAGGAAAATAATGTCCATTCAATTTCGATAACTTACGAAATAATTGGACGTATCGAGAACGTAATTATACGTGGGATCCTCTAATTCCGTACAGCGTAACCATGTTGCTAGAACAAGTGCTGAACACCACAATAAACCCACTACCAAAACTTTCGGTAAATAAAACGTTACAAGACGTCTTTCGTTCTGTCAAAATGTAAGATTCCCAATTACAAGCAATGTCACGTGAATGCATATAGATTGTACGCTACGACCAATTCTAAGAAAATCATACTTGTCTCAAACCATGGTAAACGCATAACCAAAACATGAGAACTGCACATAGAAACGTTGTCTGTAAAATTGCATCTACCATACCAGGTACCCAAGAATTGACTAAAAATGTCATTGGAAACAACGGATCTGTGTAAAATGGTATAAATTTAGTTTCCCGAGAACGTGTTAAATGTAAATTGTCAATTTCACTACATCGTCTTACTATTATATAAAATTAGCAAGGGAAGGAGTATAGAAATCCATTTCTGTTCTATCGACCAGTCGTGCAACGGATATTTGCGAAGAGAATGTCCGAACCAACACTGAAAATTAATCATCAATCAACTCCAAAAAGTTAACGCAATTCTTTCCTTTCCAGTATAATATGCAAATATACAGCTGTCCTTTACCATAACTCCGAACGCAGTTAACAAGAAGATAAATCGAAACCAAATCTCGAACTCCGTAAACGCTGGATTGTAATTTTTAAACTACGAACAAATAAGCACATTATCAAGTACGATTGTTTCGATTCCGAAGAAACTTGTAACACATCTTATCTCGTATAGTGCTTACTGACGTAGAATGTAAGTTCACGTATGTCATAACGTCGATGGAAGCTCTCGAGCCCATGAAACCGAACAGTGATGTTGTAGTAACTGTAGTCGAGATATCCAAGATGAGCAACTACGAGTTCCTCGCACGTTTGTCGTTCGCATTTTAAACGTCTGGTTCTACGGAAGAGAAGAAAAAGTTGAAGCGTTAGTAATGCTTTTACACGAAGGACGCAGTCAATGTAAATCGCATCTCAACTCAATCATACCTATTATGCCCGGTTTCCGAAGACAAAACAGGTACAAGTTTACGATCGATAGCAATACCGTCAATAGAGATGCTTATTTGAAAACTTTTGTCATATCTTTCATCTGTAAAATTTGAAACGTAATTACAGCTTGCTTCTTACGAATAAATTTACAAATTCTTCGATCCTTTAATACCATCGTTATTGGATGTCAGTAATTTTGCGATAACCCATAATTGTTGGCTGTACGTAGATAATAGAGGTGTTTTCATAACAAAAGGACCAGTAGCAACCTCACTGCCATTCAAGTGAATTATCCGATCGGTCGTCGAAGTAATAGGAGGACCTATATTGTAATACAATAATAATGAAAATAAGGAAGGAACAATATTGTTTGCAAATTAGTGCTAAATCGTAGAAGAACCCTAGCGTTCCGCTTTAAAAATGTAAATTGCAAGTACCAACACCGTGAAGTGAACTTTACCTGCAAGTCCAATGAATACCGCTAATCCAAAACAGGCAAAGAAGGCAACGAATACCATAACAAATTCCCTCTTATGCATAGAATACAGACGCATTTGTACCGATCTGAATAAGCAAAAATAATATTATTAAATAACGCATCATAATTATATAACACAAAGGAAGCGAACAGACCTTTCACAACGATCGTGATGGTAAGCAGGTGCAATGTACTTGTTGAATTCACTGAAAAGATCGCTGAACTGTGAAAGTACATTTCTAACTCGAAGATTCCATCCTGCAGAAGGAAGATGATACGAGTATCCTAATCCAGGCCCTTCCATTTTCACATTAAACCTATTGTACGATGCATAAGTACATACGATGTATATACATATATATTTGTTGAAAAAGAATTAATTTTCATCTTCTCTGATAAACAAATGAAAAGACGTATCCGAAAGCAGTAAACTTTCGGAGAAAGAATAAAACAAAAAATGGTATTTTTCACAACGAATCCATCGAACTTGTTCCTTTTCTGAGAAAATAAACGCGGTCTGTTCCATAACGTAGTACACAGACCACGTGTTCGTTGGAAACGTTCGAGGCGCACCAATGCTTGAATAATTTTATACACTGGTCATAGATTTTACACATTTGTTGTGTATCGAAAACAATATACGCACTTGTGCAAGTAAAAACATCATTACCTTTCCATCTAGCAACGATCCTCGATAGATCTGTAGTATAACTTCAGGACATTCGTATTAATCGGTTTGTCACGTTAAGTTTCAACAATTTTAAAAAGGAACACGTATCGTGAAGCATTTGCTCGTTTAACTATTAAATTGAAAATATTCGATACGACAGAGCAAAGGAAAACGTTAAATCCGTAACGACGCATGAAACGAAAGCGGCAGACATCACGACGCGTACTATTGATTTTTACGTCTACCATGCGATGGTACACAGTTGGCGATTTATTATTCTTACTCCAGTCGGCACGATGATTTTTTGTACGATGTAACGCGTAATTCGTCGATTTAATATCGCACGTTCATTTTAAATGACATAGGACAAACTGTTCGCGACGAACAATAGTAATTAGCTGCTTTTATCATTTACTACACGTTTGTAAAACATAGGCGAATATCGATGCGATGAACAAAATTATACGAAAAGATTCTCGAAATAACTCAATTATCAGCAACGTTGATGTAACTTTAACCGAAACGTTCTAATATCTTAAGTTTATTTCTCATCAATGTGGTACACACGAATTAAAAATATGTACGCAAAGTAAATTTATCTGTACACGTGATATAAAATATAAATACACATTATTTCGTAGAAACGTATTCGTAGATGATCCTAATCCCAATATTTTATTTTTCCGTCCCAACCAGCTGTAGCAAGCCTAGAAGGCTCGTGAGGATGCCATAATACGTCGATACACACACCATCGTGTGCTTTCCATTTTTTGTACAATTTTGTTGTTTTCCAATCCCAAATGTAACACTTTCCGTCCGCGTCTCCCGATACGAGGTAACTTTACGAAACAGACAAAAAGAAGAAAAGAAAAGAATCGAATTGCGTTCGCGTGTTACAAGCGATGTTACAAATCAAAAAGGAATTTTCTTACCTCATGTCGGGAGAAAAGTCCAAACCACACGCATAACCAGCAACCATATGACCCGTGAATGTTTTCTTTCGATTCATTTTGAATCTGTTTAAAGCAGAAAATATAACTATTTTATTGTCCATACTTTGACACGCGAGCCACTTCTGATTAGGGGAGGGTGTAACGGCTGGCATAGAATGCATCGAAGGATCGGCTATATACTTCATGTCGACAGGTATGTCCCATTCCCAAACACGCAGACTTTTATCGTCCGAAGTTGTTACAAATCTTCGATTTTCATCTACGAATGTTATCGTGTTTACAGCTCCCAGATGCCTGTCATATTCTTGCGTTACTTCACCAGAACGAACATCCCACTGTGAAAACACATATATTAACACAATTTAAAAAATCCTTCAAACATCAAAATTCGGGATTTACAACTTACGCATATAATCTTTTTGTCACTAGTGCCTGCTACAAACAGATGTTGCTTGTCCGGGTCAGGATTAAATTTGACGCAATATGGAATTTTTCTGCTCGTAAATCGGCTAATACAAGCACCCGTTTCTGTATCCCATAACTTTACATAACGATCATATCCAGCGGATAAAAATCTTTTGCCATCGTTGTCGAAGCTTATATCCCTTACAGCTTGGCGATGACCGTAATAAGTTCGAATACATCTTCTATCTTTATAAACTTCCCATAGCTGTACTTAGAAACCGTAGAAATACGATAACCAACATACATCCTTTCAACGTTATTTTTCACAAAGCTCGAAAGATACACATACCTTCACTCTACAATCCATACTGCAAGAAAGTAACAAATGCGCGGTACGCGGGAACCATCTGATTTGTGAGATACCCTTGGTATGACCTTCCCAAGTATGAATTTGCGCTTTTGGTAAGAAGCATCTGTCGGGTGGCGATTCCGATCTCAAATTTACGCCAACGTCTTGAGGCGCGTGTAAAAACGATCTACCTTGGTAATCCACACTATCTTTAACTAAAAAAGTGAAATTTTGTCGTTAAATAATTTGTTTTACTACCTCTGTAACTTAGATATTTAAAAGGTATCACGATTATACTGTGTAGCACAGTCTTTTCTTCCAGCGGTTTTTCCTCCGTTGGTTTCCCTCTTCTGTTTCTTTTGGCTAATATTTCTTCTAATTTGGCAGCTTCTTCTTCCGTCGGTTTAATTATTCGCTTTTCATCTACGTATCCACCCCACGGACCTAAGAATCCCTCGATATCAGCAGGATCGTCGTTCCTATGACGTTTCCTTCTATCGGAAGGCCTCAGAGTTGTACTTTCGAACACAGTTTTACCACCAGACTCTTCAGCTGCTTCTTTCGCTCCGATAATCGTTCTACCCTCTTCGGCACTACCGTCTACAGTTGGGTCTAGCGCATACCCTGTAATATTTACATACAGCAGTATTTATATAAGCACGTAAGAACGTCTCTTTGCACGATATCTTATACGATATCGATAATGTCGATATATTATCGATATATTACAACGTATACCATAACTGGCAAAAGTTCTTCTTTGATTTTCAAATTGAAATTCGCTTATGTGCGCTTTCTCCACATATCCAGAAAGCATATTTTTCACAGCACGTTGCTGTTGCGTTTTAAATGGATTTTCCGGTCCAATGTCTGGTGCAAAAAGTTCTTCGTACTTAGGGTTATGCATAACCTCTTGAATAGTTGAATCTATATGTTTCACACATAATTCGGTTCCCTGTAACACAGCATTCGAATCAAGCGTGTAACATTTGAGAGTATATATTAAAATTATTCGTATTTCTCGATGAGAATCATCGATGAGAAATCGACGCAGTGTAAAACCAATTTACACTTGAAATAAGCAGAGGTAAGAAGATATCGAAATATTCACCGTTGGTATCACTTCCGGTGCAGAACAGACTTGCATATTTATAGGCGGAACCAATTTTTCTACGGGAAGAGAATTAATAACAGAAGTGTCGTTAGCATCAACATCACGGTTAACCTCACTTTTTTTATCTTCACTTTCGATTTCAGGCTCACTATTATCGTCGCTGCTGCCGTAATCTTTCAGAGCAAGCATATTTCAGCGGCAAATGTAAGCGGTTAACGATTAAACGGTTAAATCAAACGTCCAACATTCCTAAATACCTAAGTATAACATTAACTATTTTACGTAAACACGAACCTCCACCGCGATAACAGAAAATAATAAGAATCAAGTCGTTCACCGAACTAACTAGAATTACGTCCATTAGATGGCGGGAAAGCACGACGCGATTGCATTCGTTCGATTGTACGAATTACGTAGTTCTATAAACAAGTTGACGGCTTTGTCAAAATGATTCGCGCTGTTACGGTACCGTGTGAACACGGCCTTAC